TAATAATAGGTACAAAATGATGAATATATATTTGCAAGCTCAAGAATCCAAATGTAAATAATTTTGGGCTGAATTTAGGACCAATTTTGAATAGACCAATTAGCAGAGAATTGAATTGCAAATTTTTTTGTTCCCATGATTTTTCTGATCTTTAATTTAGATGGTCTCAAAGAAAATTGGTCTTGAAAGAAAACTGCGGTTCAATTAATCGTTATAATTGGCAGTCTGTATTCATTATATTGGCTAAAGTTACGCCAACAAACCTCAATTTCATTTCTTTTCAATAAACTTTTCTTTCGTTTAAAATTGAAAACTAGCATCAGCCTAATATTAATTGTCAAAGAACACCATTTTTTTTACGGTAATTTGTTTAATTTAAAACTAATTTTACGATTTAATCTTGCATTTTTAAATTTCTTCACATTACTTTGGAATTATTCGAATTTTTTACAGTTTTCGTGGTCATGCAATAAAATATGCGAGATTAAGCCGTAAAATTGTATTAATTATATCTACGAGTCGGTAAAATAAAAAAAAAACGGATAATAAGTTTTCCAGCGAGTCGTTATTGCAAAGTTTATATATCTTCAGCTTTAAATTTTATTAGTTTCACATTCTAACAACCTTAAAACAGGCAATGATAGTTTCAATTTAACTGTCAAACGCCTGTTTGTTGTGCCGACTTGCAAATCAGATTCAGACTAACGGATAAGTAAAATATTTACTGTGATCCGCGATTTGTTCGTGAATTTATCTTTAGTTAAGAACGAGAATTTGTTGGTTCGATTTGTTGATAACATTGCATGAAGTTGTCGCTGTGAATGCAATATAAATAACGTTGAATCATAGACATGAAGATTGGCAGCGTGGAGAGCCTAGATAAGTTTTTTTGCTGGCTGCCCCACCATTCAAACCAAGACGCATTACTGCTTCACGGCAGAAATAGGCAGGGCGGCGGTACCTACCCGTTTAGACTCACAAGAGGACTTACCACCAGTAATTACGCAAATTATAATTTTGCGGGTTTGATTTTTATTACACGATGCTATTCCTTCACCGTGGAAGTCAATCGTGTACATTTGTTAAGTACGTATTTCATTAGAAAAATCGGTACCCGCTTGCGGGATTCGAACACCGGTGCATCGCTAGATACGAATGCAGCGGACGTTATCCTTTGGGCCACGACGACTTCAACTTAAATTCTTAACTTTGTAATTAAAGGTGCGTTTTATTTGTTATTAGCTTCAACAGTTTAATGTTTTTAATTGAAGTAGGCAGCGGCTTGGCTCTGCTCCTGGCGTTGCTGAAGTCCATGGGCGACGGTAACCACTTACCATCAGGTGGGCCGTACGCTCGTCTTCCTACAAAGGCAATAAAAAAAAAAAAATGTGTGCGTGTACTAGTGTACACACGTAAGAAGTGAAACTTGTTTATGGCCTTATTTTTCGAAAAATGATCTACATGCAACTTTCTAGAAATTGGTTAAATAAAGTTAAATTAGATAAAGTTTAAACAAAAGGATTTTATTATCATAGACATGAATACAAAACAGATGGCGCGTAACGGAAAAAAGTGACGCGTAACCGAAAAATGTGACGGTAAATTTTTTTCCAACGCCGATAAGGAAGTTTCACTTCAAAAACTTCATTAAGTTCACTCCATTCGAATAGCTGAAAAAGTCGTTTTTGTTATGTATTTTTTCCATATTTTAAGCTTTAAATGGCTCTCCTGTAAAGTTGAAAAACTGTCGCTTAGACCAAATAAATAGTCTTTCACTCGTCGATATATAGAATAAAAAACTTCAGAGGTGTCAAGGGACACCTGGATGGAACGAAGTTCCTTTCGATTAATTAGTGAAGGAATTGTAATTTTTTTTTTAAGTTATCATAATAAATTACGGCATTATGAAGAAGAAAAAAACAATACTATGAACTAAATTGCTATTGTTGAAACGCTATCTCGAGAAACTGTACTCATTACGCGGACCAATCGGATACGAGCAATGTCACGCGATAAGCGCCTACACGTTGATTGGTCAGAATGACGGATCTAAAAAGTGTCGTGACAACTTTTCGTAAGAATTTTTTCCGTCTAGCCCCCTTTCACAACGCGCGATAAGGAACTTCGTTCCAATAAAATAATGTACATTGCGGTTAGTTGTCACAATGTATTCTGCCTATCAACAGTCGCGATTGAAGACCTAATACCTAGTATTCCATAAATCCAAAGCCCCGTTCTATGTTCCTTGACATTAAGTTATACGATTGATAAAATCGACACATAAAATTGTATTGTATCGATTTTTTTTTTCCTACTCAATCAGCGTTGCTTATCTCGTTGAATTAATATCGATACTTGGAAGTTTGTCTTCTTGGCTTGCGGTTTTATGTTAATTTGAATCGAGTTTCTTATCGATTTGCAGAGCAGTAGAGTTGTGTTGTGGAAACGTGATAAGTAAGAATGGCTTTTGAAATAATTGTCGAGATAGGACATTTCAACATGACACGAATTACGATTTAAATAAAGATTTTAGATTTATTAAGTCGTTTTTTAGTGTGGATAATAAAAAATTGCATTAATTTATTTTCATGATGATTATAATTATTATTGTTAAATCGTTGTAGTATTCGAAATAATAGGTTATATTGAATAATAGGTAATAATTAATTGGTTACCTGTAAAAATTCTCAAGTTAATCTTATGTCTAACAACTCTATGTCATTTTTTTATTGCTAAGGTAGGTTGATGAGCTCACGGTCAATCTGGTGTTAAGTGGTTACCGGTTGTTACATCGGCTGCCCTACCTTTCAACCCGAAACGCATTACCACTTCACGGCAGAAATAGGCAGGATGGTGGTACCTATCCGTGCGGACTCAGAAGACGTCCTACCACCAGTAAAATCACTTAATACCAGGTGAGCTGACCCTCATTCGCTCATCTAATATAATAATAGTTTCGTCGAAAAGCGCCGCATATGCAACACCCATTTCGATACATACGAAGCTTATAATAAGCTTATTGTTGAGAAGGCCTATTTTAAGGTTATATAAGGTTAAGGTTATATAAGGAAAGGGTACCTTGATTTTGCCCACTTTATATAATTGACATTTAGGCATCGACCTTGTTTGCCTATTGGCTTCGGTTAGCAGTAACACCGACCAAGTGGCCTGTGAGTTCTTTAAATTACCTACAAAAATAAAAATCCACCCTTAAAGCATTCCTAAGTCAATCAATTCTAATCTAGTCTTTTCTCATAAACACGGGCGATGCGTGTGAAGGAATTATTCTCGGAGTCGTGACTTTAGAAATTAAAGATTTTCGATATAAATGCGAGCGTGCGGCGGAAACTTTCGACATAAGTACCTACGTAATTACGCGTATTTAGAACTGGAACGTTGTAGGTGCAAATGATTAGTTATTTGATATCACACACATAGACACAGCCCACTGAGTTTCTCGCCGGATCTTCTTAGTGGATCGCGATTCCGATCCAATGATAGATTCAGCGAAGCACTGCTCTTGCTAGGGCTAGGCAATTCTCTCAGGTAGAGCCCGTGAGCTCACTTACCGGTCCGCGGGTAATTGGAACAGGCCTTATTGTTGGTAATAAGGTAGGGAAAAAAGATATTAGACTCTCAGTGGATCGTGATTCCGTTCCGATGGTAGATTCAGCGAAGCACTGCTCTTGCTAGGGCTAGTGTTAGCAATTCTTTCAGGTAGAGCCCGTGAGTTCACTTACCGGTCCGCGCGTAATTGTTATAGCCCTTTAGGGTTGATACCAGCGATAAGGGTAGGGAAAAAAATTAGACTGACTCCGTGGCACAGTAACCAGCGGTTCTGACTGCCGGGCCGAGGATCATGGGTTCTATTTCCTCATCCAGCAAACATTCGTGTAACGAACAGATTGGTTTGCTATTTGTCTAGCTGTTTCATATCTACATAGTCAAATGTCTTTAAGTGTTATGTAAGTTTAATCAGTTTCTGGTTCCCATAAAGAATCCCAGTTAGGGGCCAAATGACCATAAGTGAATTGTCCCCAATTATTTAATATGAATACGCTTTTATTAGTTTCGTTTCTATGTAAGGATGTAACGGAATCTTTGAACATGACTTCCACCCACCTAAAAACGTCCAATTAATCTGAAATTTAGCACGCTTATCGAGAACATAAAAGCTTTATACCCGAACCCATCTCACTTATCGCTCTTTCGATTAATGAAAATCATATTAAAAGAATGTTGCATGATTTAGAAAAAATAAGCGTAGAAACACACTAAGGCAGACATTGACAATGTTTCATACTATTTGAAGATAATTATTATAAAGACAAACAAACTACAAACCACTTTAGATTTGAACATCTACTATTAGCCCTATCAGTCGTATCTTGATGTGTTTTTACATGAATTCTAGGACCAAATATAATTTACAATCAATTTAAAATACTCTCAGCGCGTTGCAGGAAAATCATGCAAGATTCTTCTCATCAAATAGTTATACAGGGCAGAGTGGATTGTATTTGTAAATACAATTAAAGTATCGATTAGCGAGCTCTGATCTAGAGCAATAAAAATGGTATGTATTTTAGGTAATCATATATATTATTAAAAATGGTGCACGTGTAACTTGGTGCGCTTGAAAGTAGTGAAACTTCTTTTGCGGGGTGTTGTATTGTGGTTTTCTTCATTTTTCATCCTTAAATCAAATTTCTCTTGTAATAGGGAATGCTGTGTATAAGAGATACGACCTAGTTCCCTTTGTCCTATTTCTCTCCGCACGGTTGAGTCGTTCGCGAGACGATCTTTGTATTGTCTCACTCTCGCTCTTCCTAAATTGTATCTTTTCTCTCTAGCCGTAACGAATCTGTCGCGAGTTAAACTTTACTCTCAACGTGCCTACAAAATTTTCACTTCATACACGTGGATATGTGATACTTTGCTTTTGGTGTCGTAAAAATTTCCGTATGATCTTGTTATTTAGGTCATCCTTCTTGTTTCAGGTTACCAATTGCTATCAGGCAAGTCCTGTAAAGCGGGCAGCGCGATAGGCAAGTGCATGTTCGTGCAGGAGTGCATTAGACAAGGCGGCACCCACACTGGCGTGTGCGTCGACGGCTTTATCTTCGCGTCTTGCTGTCGGTTACCGGAGAAACCAATTAATCTAGAAGGTACTTAATGACTATTTTTGCTTATTATAATTTACGTAATTAATGGTGGTAGGACCTCTTGTTAGTCGGCGCGGATAGGTACCACCACCCTGCCTACTTCTGCCGTGAAGCAGTAATGCGTTTCGGTTTGAATGGTGGGGCAGTCGTTGTAGCTATATTGAGACCTTAGAACTTATATCTCAAGGTAGGTGGCGGCATTTACGTTGTCTGTATAGATGTCTATGTGCTCCGGTAGCCGCTTAACACTAGGTGGGCCCTGAACTCGTCCACCAACCTAAGCAATAAAAAAAAACGAGTAATCTAATAATAAATATGAGTTAGGCAATATCATCCAGAAGTTAAATAAAAGGTCATTATAGTACGTAGAATTTTGTCTTGGGCAAAAAGAGAAAATAACGTTTATTTTGCACTTAATAACACTGTGGTTACTTATTAATTTAACCTTCAGCAAGTTAGGAAGAAATATATTAAAAAAGATAAAATTTTACACACATTTTTTTAAAGAATCGAATATATATTGTTGATGTGAATTAGTCTTATCTACTAGTTGGCAATACGTCATAACGACATGGGACTTGCCTAGTCTTCCAATTTTAATCAAGCCGAAAGTAGTATCTGGATTTTATTACATTTATCTTAGAATAATCCAGTCTGAGAAATAAACATTTTAAATATATTTTTTTAAATTTACAAGTTTCTACGTACTTACGAGGCCACTTGGTCTATCCGATTCAGTTGAAGCTTTCTAAAGTTGTCATTATTGTTATTTTTACAAGGGATTGTAATTTCTATCAAATTTGATTTTAAGCATTTCCTTTCAGGCACCCATAATCCAGTAACAATCACGGAACGCACGTTTTCAGCGCCATCTAGTAGCACAACTACTACAACCGAGCAAGCTCCATCGTCAACGCAAGCGACGCGGCCCAGTTATCAAACTCAACGGCCGTCGTTCATGACTAAGCCGATAGATGGCGCTCCTACATCTTACGGATACCGGCCACCGGAAATCAACATACCTTCTTTAAGCAATTTAGATACGAGTAGCGAACAAAATAGTGATATAGTTAATAAAATATCATATAACATTGTAAATAAATACCAAAATGTACATAGGCCGAACGGTGATGCGGATGCTAGTCCCCATAACAAGATTTCGTCTAGTCTTAGCATAATACCTGGGGCGAGACCCATGGCTGTTTCTGAGCAGCACGCTGAAAACAGTGTTCCTGCAGGTCAGTAAATAATTTTTACTTCATTTAGCGGCATCTAACGTGATAAAAGTGTACTATAATAATAAACTTTGAAACATTGCTTGTGTAGTAGTACCAATAAAACATAACAGATGTCACTATTATCAAGGTTTTACATATCACATCACTAATTTAAGCAAAGCAAGCACTCTCGGTGCTTTTAAGCTCTTCAAGCACCGGTCACCCTCCTCTTCGAACTTGTCGACTCCGACGAAGAGTTTGACGTGCGAACTAGCCCATAGACACAACCCACTGAGCTTCTGGTCGGATGTTCTCGGTGGGTCGCGATTTCGATCTGGTAGTAAATTCAGCGAAGAACTGCTCTTGTTAGGGCTAGTGTTAGCAATTCTCTCAGGTTGAGCCCGTGAGCTCACCTACCGGTCCGGGTGAAGTTGGAATAGCCCCTAGGCTACCAACGATTAGGTAGGGATAAAATAAAATAAAAACTAATTTATAAAAATGTAATATTGCTGCTTTTTAATTACAGCTCAGTATATGTCGAGACCAAGCAACATGAACACTGCCCATTGGCAAGTGACAACTGAGCCGAATTTCATAACGAAACCTCGTCCATCATGGGAGAAGCCGGCTGGTAAACCGAAGCCTACAAAGAAGTTCACAACCACGACGAGTAAGCCTCACAAGAACTACTTGAAGCCGGGTTCTATGGGAACCGTTATCAACAAGATTGACCACTCAACCCCAGAAACGCAGACGACGGCCGCTACAAATGCGGCCGGTATGTATTTAAAAACCCATACCTTTTTTTTTCTATTGAACTGTACAGGCAGACAAGCTTGTGATCTATCTGTACTAAGTGTGAGTTTTTAACGTTCTCGATAGCGTAAAAGTTAAATCAAATTGTATGCAGTTGGAACAGCGCCCCTAGCGGCAAACGTAGGCATGCGTTCCAACGCCATACAGATTTGAGTTAACTTTTACGCTATCGAGAACGTTAAAAAACTCGTAGGTACTAAGCACACTGGTGCCAGCTTACTTGAGCCAGCCGATATTACAACTTGAATGCGGCCAATTACTGACACTTACGGTGGATGACTCAATGTTGTTGAATACAAAGTAAGCTGTCTACCTTTCAAACCGAAACAAAACAAAATTCAATCATAATCAGTTACGGCTCAAGATTCTAATTCATTTAATTTATTGCATTTGTTTTGACGTCTTATAAATCGATAAACATTTGCTGCACGCACGAAAAAGTGTCACGTTCCGCCTGAGCGTGCAAGCGAGAGCGCGCAACAACCGATAGAGAGGCACGAACGGCCCAAGCTTTGGCTTGTGACACATTTATCTCTCTTCTCGCGTGACGTCGAGCTTGAAGTTTGAATAGTTCTGCTATCGACGTTATCACGTAAAACAATAGTCCGTAAACCGACTTTACAGACAACCGATTATTTTGTTTTGTTTATTGAGAATGTATTTAAAAAAAAGATTAAATTAGCGCTTTTCATAATATAAAAAAATGACTAAGAAACATAGGAGAGAATTGTCTTTAATTGGTTTGCCTTTTTGTATTTACCTTTTTTCTATGAGGCTATTCCAGCTATGTTATGACGGGTAGGTGAGCTCACGGGCTCAATGAGTATTTGCTGACACTGGCCTTAACAAGAGCAGGGCTTCGCAGAATCGACCACCGGTCTGAATGCGACCCACTGAGATCATCCGGCTAGAAACTCAGTAGGTAGCCTATTCCATAGTACTTGAATATAAATTAATTTTTGTGTACAGAGTGTGGTGTGACTTCAATGTGGCCGCGGCCAGAGACCCGCATCATGGGCGGGAAGGACTCCAGCTTCGGTCGCTGGCCGTGGCAAGTATCTGTGAGGAGGACATCGTTCTTCGGTTTTTCCTCGACCCACCGCTGCGGAGGGGCCATCATTAACGAAGGATGGATCGCAACCGCGGGACATTGCGTTGACGAGTAAGTTAATAGTTCGTTGTGTTCATACAGTTAAGTGGTTGTTGGACGTCAGAGCTAGAAGTTCGAATAGTTCTGCTAAGTTATCACGTAAAACTATCGTCCGTAAACCGACTTTACAAACAACCAATTAATATATTTAAGCTATTGCATAGCTTTTATCGCGGGCTTTGAGCGCAGCGACCGAATCAAGAAATTCTGTAACGAAAATAAAACCTAACACTCCCCACTCCGCCTACCATGTAGATCGCGTTCAACACATTCACACGTTGCGCTTGTGTAGTGTTTGTGAATAAGCGCGCGGCGTGACGTCGCACTGCATACGCATCATGAAAAGTCTGCACATCTCTCTCTCGCGCAGTCTAGCTTATGACTCTTATGAGTGTGAAGGGGTAGTTAATGTTTTGCTTTTGTTAATGTTTATAAAGATAGCGTGGTCTTATTTCATAATTGTTTTAATATTAAATTATTATTGTCTAATTATAATCGCATAGGTTAATAAAAAATGCTATGCAATAGCTTTACCGCGGCAGTCGCCGAGGACCACACTTGTTTTTTTTTGTTATATCTAAGCACGATGTCTTTCTTATTACAGCCTTCTGACTTCACAAATCAGGATTAGGGTAGGAGAGTACGACTTCTCTACGGTATCAGAGGAATATCCGTTTGTCGAACGTGGTGTAGCCAGAAAGGCGGTTCATCCAAAATACAATTTCTACACATACGAATACGACTTGGCGCTGGTGAAACTGGAGTCGTCCGTGCAATTCGCTCCGCATATATCGCCGATATGCTTGCCGGCCTCAGACGATTTGTTGGTTGGAGAGAACGCGACAGTCACCGGCTGGGGGAGGCTCTCGGAAGGCGGAGTACTGCCTTCGGTGTTACAAGAGGTAAACAGTTTCCTTCTAGCCATTCAGACCTGAAGTTTATAAGGTTGTTTGGGTGTTTATTGTCCTATGTAAATACGACGGAATTGGAAAGTATAAAATCAATTCTTACCCGTAATACTGAGAGGAAGGTACGTAGGTAGGTAGGTACGCAGCGGCTTGGCTCTGCCCCTGGCATTACTAAAGTCCATGGGCGACGGTAACCACTCACCATCTGGTGGGCCGTATGCTCGTCTGCTTACAAGGGCAACAAAACGAAAACGATTTTTTGGAAGACGACCGGGTTTCAACCCTTGATATGTACGCTGCGAACTGATAATAGTGCCAATGAATGTAGCACTAATAGTGCGAGGACTCTAATCTCATCAATACTGTACAAATTCATATGACGTAAAATAGTAATAAAAATGTCTGATAATAGAAAATTAACGATAAATTTAACTTCTTGGCCAATATCAATAACAATTCATTACAGGTACAAGTACCAATAGTTTCCAATGAGAGATGCAAGTCGATGTTTTTGAGGGCGGGACGACAGGAATTCATTCCTGACATTTTCCTTTGTGCGGGACACGAAAGAGGAGGCCACGATTCTTGCCAGGGAGACTCAGGCGGACCCTTACAGGTCAGTGATTATTTTTACTACCTAAGCTGATAGCATTGAGAGGCTATGTCAGCGTAACCCTAACGTGTAGGTGAGCTTTAGGGGCTGAAACTAGGAGGCGTTGCTAACACTGGCCCTAGCAAGAGCTGTTGCAGAATCTACCACCGGATCGGAAACGCGACCCACTGAGAAGACCCGGCGAGAAACTCAGTGGGCTGTGTCTATGGGTTAGTTTATTTGCCAAACCCTTCGTCGCAAGCGACGGGTTCGCGAAGAGACAATTGTTCACACGATCTCGTATTTACCCATAGTTTAATTTTTTTATGTTAAAATGCATAAAATCAATACTATTCACGAGCTATATGTTTTTGTGTTCTAATAATGCTGTTATACTCGTAGTCCTAAAGGGAAAATTCTAGCATAAAGTAAATAAAAAAAATCGAAAATGAGACTTTGAGCTTTTTATTTTTTTTTATTGCTTATATGGGTGGATGAGCTCACAGCCCACCTGGTGTTAAGTGGTTACTGGAGCCCATAGACATTTATAACGTAAATACCGCCACCCACTTTGAGATATGAGTTCTAAGGTCTCAGTATAGCTACAACGGCTGACCCACCCTTCAAACCGAAACGCATTACTGCTTCACGGCAGAAATAGGCAAGGAGGTGGTACCTACCCGCACGGACTCACAAGAGGTCCTACCACCAGTAAATATATCTGAATACTTTTTTCAGGTTAAAGGCAAAGATCAGAGATATTTCCTAGCTGGTATAATTAGCTGGGGAATCGGATGCGGCGAAGCAAACTTACCGGGTGTGTGTACGAGAATATCAAAATTCGTTCCCTGGATCCTACAGACTGTTAACTCATAAGCCAATGAAAATAATAATCGGTAATGTTAAATTGATAGTGACTTTAAAACGGTTACTGGTGATTACGAAGTGAACGGTGTAGATGATAATTGAATGACAATGAAACGAAATTATGATGATGATAATGATGATGATGATGATGATAATGATGATGGAACAAGTGCAGTGTGTTACCTTCAAAAATGTTGATTTGATTCAACGTTTTCTGAGGCGTTTTATTTGGAAAAGTCCACCTTGAGGCTCTACAGAGCTCGCTTTAGCGAAATTCTGTATGGATGTATAGTGATGAGCTTCGCTCGGGTGAAAATTCTCGGCTGGAACAATAATAAACGCCCTTGTCACTACTGCTTTGGTTGTATTCTGTGTAGAACTATCTAGATGTGTTTTCATTTTAGCGTAATTCGTTTCAGACGGAAGTACATTAAACTGATTGTATTTTACGACATGCACTAAATAACTAATATCAATTGTATTCGATCTTCCCGCGGATCATCATGTTTACGAGTTTCAAAAATCATTATTTGTAAATACCATTATTGTTAAGAATGTCTAAATTAAATAAATAAATAGATTAAAAAATGTTTAATTATATACGTGTATATATAACGTGTAACGGTCTTGCCTCTGTTATTTAATAAGTTTATTGTATTTACAGTATTATCGGCACTATAGACATTTTAGCTTTGTAAATACCTCATCATCGTCTACTGTTCTGTTCAGTGTGCTTAGTGCGAGTTTTTTAACGTTCTCGATAACGTAAAAGTTAACTCACATTTGTATGAAGTTGGAACGTTTGCCTATGTTTATCGCTAGGGGCGCTGTTACACATTCATACAAATTGGAGTTAACTTTCACGCTGTCGAGAACGTTAAAAAACTCGCACTAAGCACAAAGATCAAGTAGCAAATATGAAAGCAAACTCTTGTATGATTTGTATTCTTTTGTATTAATATCATAATCTTGTACGAATGTATCGATCTTGTGAATTTTTTTTCGTGTCTAATTTCATGTTACATGAAAGGCGAAAATGTCAAAATGCTCAATCAATTATTATTTTTAGTAATTTTTGTGTTTTTTTGTATGTGTTTATTCTATAACATTTTGTTTAAATAGTTTATAATGATGTTGACGAATTGTTTGCACAGTGATTATTTGTTAATGATTAAATCAATAAATAAATAAATGTTACATTTTTGTTTTCATATAATGCGGAATTCAAATGGCATGGTTCAGTATGTTTCAGTCCATACGCGGTCCAAAATTCAAAGTGAACTTGTTTAATAATCAGAGATTAGATTGCATTGAGTAGTCACAAATATTGAGCTCAGTTTTAAAACCTTATTCACCAATCTTAGCGGCAATTGTTTAATCTTGTATCAAATTTTCGTAGCTCGATTGTTAGTTCAAAGGAGGTAAGTAATTATTATTTAGAAAGCCGATCCGGGACAGCTTTCTGCAATATCAAATAATTAAGGTCAATTTCCTTGAACTTCATTAGTCGAGCAATAAAACAAGATTTCGCGATTTTCATAACATTTTGTAAATTTGTTTTCGGTAATCGAAATGAGGAAGGGAAAATAAATGAAAATAAGTGGTTCATTTAGGGCCTTTGATGTTTGTGTTTTACATGATTAGTGACGGGAGGTTTGTTCTGATTATTTGTGTTTAAGGATGGGGTTGATTCTCGTTCGTTACGATTGAGACTTCGACTTTTGTAGACATTGTTTATTGTATTTTATTTTTATTTAGTTTTTATTGCTTAGTTAGATGGACGAGCTCTGCCAGCGCCGGATTAAGCAAGCGCTGAGCCCGTAGCAAATTATTTCAGAGCCCTTGATCTACTATGGGTTCTTAAGTATAAAGTGGTAAAAAAACAAATCAATAGTCTATACGTTTATTTGCCATCTATAGGTTACAATTCTGCTACACATCCACACTGTGTCGGGTAGGTGTGCTTGCATACGTCAGACTTTTTGTAGAGCTGATTATCAGGCTGATTGAAATTCTACACGTTTATACAAACAACTTTTTCTTAATAAGTCACTCAAAAAATTAAGCTCGGGCAGATATGAGTGTGTTTAAATATGCGGGGCCCCCTACTCTTGCTACATGGTTAATCCGGCACTGAGCTCTACACAGCTCACCTGGTGTTAAGTGGTGACTCACAAGAGGTCCTACCACCAATAAGTATGTATGGGCCCCAGCTACCAAATATCGCTGAGACGCGCGTCTATTTATTTAAATTTAGAATTAAAACTTGCTATAGCTCACCTACTACTATAATATTCGTTCATTTACAGGGTTCCAAATTGTGATGTCAGTATTGAATATTATTTATTTATTTATAACTTCATATACTAGAAAGTATAAAGGCGGACTTAATGCCATAGGCATTCTCTAACAGTCTACCTTAGGGGAGTGCAGAGATGAACCTTGGTAGGTGTAGTGTGAAGGTGATATTACTTAAACATATGTGTATATATAACATACATAATATTTATAGATACAAATACGAATAATTTTAATGACGTGTGTTTATTTTTTGAATCGCTCTAAATGTGTAAATGTATTGAGACCTATCTGGGGGCCACCGAAAACTATCCCGCTTGCATTGCTTCCAAACTGCTATCTATATCATTTTTATTGGCGTTGGCGTTGTTTATTAACTGTATCTATACATTAATACGTGAAGCAAAAACTTTGTATCCCTTTTTACGAAAATTGCACGGACGGAGGAGTATGAAATTTTCCACACTTATAGAGAATATAGAGAAGAAGTGCATAATGCTAATATTATTTTTTAATAATGCATAAAAGATACATTAAATCAATAAAGAAAACATTACACACACTACATACCATTTATTTGACGCACACACGCATACATACTATTTATTGTTCTTGACGTCTGTGGTCAAATTGAGAATAGATTAAATATTGTTTGTCTTTATTAATATTTTTTTATAGAGTAGCCTTGGCGAAATTTGTGATTAAAGAAGTATAAAATACAATCATAATAGTGTACAAACTTACAATTCCAATTAATTATAGTCGAATTTCGACTATTGCGGGACCTCTAGTTTTTTCAAGTATACAATAAAGCCGTCTATCATAGCAGATAGTTACCTGAACATTGCAATCTCTCTCTTTTTCTCTAATCTTCACAATTACAACTGGAATATTCCTAATTCTGGTACTATTGAACAACGAATTAGACGTAAGTGCGTATTAAATTCCGCGGCAACTAACCGCAAATGTCGGCTGCGTAATTAGGGACCCCGAATATGGGTCAAAACGATTCGTTATAGGAAACGCAATGCAAATTCATACCAGAAATGAACTATTCAAAATACAATTTAAAAGCTGTAAAAGATTGCGAATGCGACAAATACGGACAATTTACGTTAGGCAGCGGCTTGGTTCTACCCCTGGCATTGATGAAGTCCATGGGCGACGGTAACCACTCACCATCAGGTGGGCCGTATATTCGTCTGCTTACAAATGCGATAAAAAAAAGTTTCTAATTAGCTTTAAATCGATTAACTACTTTTTATTTTTAGAATTGGAAACATTTATCAGTTTATATTAGGCTATTTAAATTATTACTTACGCTAATAAACGATTTCCTTTCCCACTAGATTTTGATGACAATTGTCGAGTCAGTTATATTATTATGCTGTAAAATCATTAAACACTCCTATTATTACTCATATATATAAAAATAATAACAAAAAAAAGAACAGTATTGTATCAAAATGTATCAAAAAATTAATTCAAGCAATACATTATTTATTAAATTAAAATTAATTACAATTTACACGTACAGTTCAATTATGCATTAAATTATTATGTTACATAAAATTTCATTATTTATAAATTCATGCGACATGCAAATAAAATAGTAGTAGTATTGGGCTCTCTGCACGTGCCCACAACTCAATCATGACCAACACATTCCTAACAGCTGCAGAGGTAGCATCAACCACTTTTGAAAGTTATCAATCGAGTTATCATTATTCCAAATAACGTAGCCATTGTACCAAGTTGAAATGATAGAATCGTAATAAAACAAAAACATTTCTTTGAAATCTTGACCGCAACTATCAAACCCTGGATGGATCGCATCGGGAGTGTTCTTACAGTGGATGCTATTGAACTTAACGTTGTAAGCCGGTATGACTCTGGTTGTCGGTGCTCTTGGTATACCGAACTCTAAATCCAAGATCCAAGGAGTGTGTTGTAGTATATTCGGCAATTTACAAATTTCATCTATCATCAAATTCGGATTGAATTTAATAGATCTGGCCTTAGGGAAAAGATTTTTCGGTAGCTTTAGATAGCCTTCTAACGGATCTGTGGTAGTTTCTTTTCTTTCTTCTGTTACATCAGCATCTCGTGTGTCTTTATCATCGATTGCGACATTATTGTTATTTTTTTCGTCATCGTCATCGCGGATAATTGAACTAAAATTTGGATCGTCACAATTATCGTCCGTTATTTCATTAATAACGTATTCCATAACCGATGAGTCCGGAACATCGGTTTGATTAACCAGAGGCTCATACCTATGTGGTATTTTACTTCCGTTTCCATACTGAACTAATGGTGACAGAACGGGTGGCGCGACCATTCCAATATATGGATTGGGCACCGGTGCCAAAATCTGATTCGGATTTATTATGACAGGTATTTGGAAACTGCGGATGGTGTTACTAAAATGAAAGTATGGAGCCCATTTGCAGATTGCTATTGGTGGCCAGCATGGCTGCCAGTACGGGCAATATGGAGGCATCGGCCTGGGGTGATAGGTAGTGACTAAATTATGATCTATTGAACGCTTTTTCTCTTGCTTCGGTTTTTTTCTGTGCTCTGTTCCACTTTTATTTGATTTTTGTTTATCAGGCTTGTTTTGTGATTCTAAATGTTTNTGAAAGTATGGAGCCCATTTGCAGATTGCTATTGGTGGCCAGCATGGCTGCCAGTACGGGCAATATGGAGGCATCGGCCTGGGGTGATAGGTAGTGACTAAATTATGATCTATTGAACGCTTTTTCTCTTGCTTCGGTTTTTTTCTGTGCTCTGTTCCACTTTTATTTGATTTTTGTTTATCAGGCTTGTTTTGTGATTCTAAATGTTTGTTTTCTGTTTCTGATTTCTCGGTGGTGTGTTCCGGAGTTTTTTCTATTTGGGCTTCAATTTTATTGGTGTTTTTATCAGGATTTACCTTTAAACCCATTGTTTGGCATTCCTAAAAACAACTGTTATTAATTTCTTTGTGTAGATTCTATATGGAAGTACTCGCTTTCTTATTTGCCAACATACAGTCTCTTTTTTTAAACTAAACACAATACTTACTATTTTAATTATGTTCCTGTGATAGAAAAGTACACCATCCCAACTAAAACTAATAACTAACTAATTAAAAATTAAAATAATCAAGTATTTGTTTGAACTCTCGTCATTATTTAAGAAAACAGTTTTTTTTATTGTATGAGGGTAATCCACAATAGCTTAGTTGATATCTAACATTAAGGGTTCAGTATATAATTGTTTTAAGCAAATGTTATTGCGGTTTCACAGAAAAATAGTAATGGTCACAGGTAAACTTAGAGAACGTAGTATTTCGAACACATGCTTTAAAGCTTTCGTAGTCACAGCTGACTAACTTAGAAAACAGCTTTTGAAAACTTTCAACGTAATTGATGATCAATTTTGAACTTACATCCAGAGTTATAGATGTTTGTGCATTTATTATTGTGTGTTTACTAGATGGACAGGCAAACTCACGGTTCTTCGGCAGTACTGCTACGGATTTGCAGTAGAAATAGGCATGATTGTGCTATACCTACCTATGCGTGCTTAGAATAAATCACATAGTGTTAACTTAAGATTAAATACAAATTTGCAGATGGCTCAATTTATAAGAGAACTTTCAAATTTAAACAAAAGTTACACAACATCTTTGTTGTAGCATATTTTATTCCAAGCGGTGTTTTAAAAATCTTTAAAGGAACCCTACTTATTTCAATATACGTTTCATTCCACGCATCAGTCGCTTAGAGTAAGTATTTCAGTCAATTATTTGAATATTGTATACCGTAACCGTAATGCATTATTGCGTCACGGCAAAAATAGGAAGCGTGGTATTACCTATCCGTGCAGACTCACAAGACGTTCTACCACCAGTAAAAAAATATATTGTAGTTCACTGGAAACGTTGACCTTTTGTCCCAAGGTTAGGTATTTAAGTTGTGGCGCCGAGGGCTTCGGTAGCTGGTCGTCTACTAAAAAACTAGTTGGAATTCAAAAAGAGCCAAGTAAATATAAAATCAATAGCAGAATGAAAATAAATTAAATCTAACGCGTATCTGTTTGACCAGACGATATTATATCTAAGAATAAATTTTATTGTCAAGATTTTAAGAAAACCAATTTATTTTTCGATTATCCAAGAGTTGCACCCCTCACTGGAAATAGTTGTAAGACGATGCAGGAAAACGTTTCCAATACACGCCGGGTTTCTAACGATCCTCTATTGTGCTGCATTTGAGCTTCGGAAATGTGAGAAAATTCCATTTGCAATGACAGAACGGCTGACTCGGCTGAACTCAGTTCCAATGAAATCGATGACATACGGATTAAAAGGCATTGTAGAATCACTACGAATACAGACTAGTTTCGAAATATCAAGCTTCGAGTTTCAGAGATATCGAGAACTCATTTACCTGAAAATTGTAGCAAGAGCCCGTTAAGTTATGTGTGTGTAATGTAAATAGACGCGACCTAACCCATCTTCTTCTTTAACCCAGATCTTCTCAGTGGGTCGCCATTACGACCTAGTCGTGGATTCTAAGAAGCACTGCTCTTGCTAGGGCTTGTGTTAGCAAATTCTTTCCAGTTGATCTTACCTATCGCGCGTAGCTGGAATAGCCTCATAGGCTACGAGTGAATACTCGTAGGTGAGGAAAAAAGAGGCGTAAGCTACTAAATATAAACTAATAAACATAGACATCTACAACGTAAATGCGCCACCCACTTATTATCTAGTATGCTTAAAGCGTGTTCACGATCGATATCCCGTATCAATAGTATTTGTGACAAATTAATTCAAGTTCTATATGTCCGTCTCTGTCACAAGCTAAATAAGAAAATAAAAATAAATAAAAGATTAAATTAATTTCAGTGTATGTAGGTGCATTATATTTTTTCTTATTTTAGGCATTGTTTTGTAGTAAATGGTTACGGGGTCCGTGGTCATCACAAGAAGTATTTGGCCACCCGGCTTGGGAAATGAGGTTGAGGCCTCGATTTTATAATGCTGTCCCAGCTTCATACTTCCATGCATTTAGGATACTGCTTCGCGACAGAAATTAGCAATATATTGGTACTTACCCGTGCGGTTTTACAATCCGTCCTACCGCCTTTTCTTCTTCTTCTTGCCCTTATCCCACATTATATTTTGTAGGCGCAGTCATCAGTACAGCACCAACTAAATCGTTGTGGTTATCTACTACTAAAGGTAACTTAATCAAATCAATCTTAATGATTAAAAGGAACAGTTTTTCTGTTGATATTTTGTAAGGAGTTTTCCAATTTATTCTAATGCGACTATCTATAGGAGAAGATTCCTTTAAATAAACACGGATCCCCATAAATGCGTATAAAATTAGGCCCAACCTTACGTTTTCGATTACCACAAACCCCGAACTCTCCTGGAAGCATCACGTAATTTCCTTCTTATACGATATTAATACAAATCTTCCCTAGAGCTCTAAGAAGACACAAATTTGACCAATAATAATTTTATTCCTATCCGGAGGCCTGTTACGTAACTCGTACAAAGCAAATAAAAAAATCAAACAGCGAAGGTTCTCCCTTGAGATGCAACCCCTGTTTTAAGAGTAAATTCCGAACAAGATTTTTTCTTATTTCGTTATTTTAAGTCGACGGATGTGCGTTCGTAAATGTACGTACATTGTTTGCGAATGAATTTCAATGAACTCACGGGAACTAATCAAACCAATTTAGTTATGTTTCAATCAATTTTGGACCAATTGAGGTATGTTTCAAATCGAGGTGTATGAAGTAAAAAAATATATATTGAATGTGAAGAAAGAAATAATTTTCTTAGATTTCCGCGCGTTGTAGACATAATTAGCCGCCTTTTATTTCAGACCTTGGTCGTTCGTGTCTACGAAAACTGAGAAGTATTCGACGCGAATGCCGGTTGGATGTAAAAAATCAAGCTTGGAAAAGGAACCTGGCTTGCTTATGTCCCTGGTAACGACTTCCACGTGTGACGGATTAACGTGTTTTTTTTTTATTGCTTAGATGGGTGGACGAGCTCACAGCCCACCTGGTATTAAGTGGTTACTGGAGACCATAGACATCCACAGCGGAAATGCGCCACCCACCTTGAGATATAAGTTCTAAGGTTTTAAGTATAGTTACAACGGCTGCCCCACCCTTCAAATTAATTACGCAAATTATAATTTTGCGGGTTTGATTTTTATTACACGATGTTATTCCTTCACCGTGGAAGTCAATCGTGAACATTCGTTGAGTACGTATTTCATTAGAAAAATTGGTACCCGCCTGGGATTCGAACGCCGGTGCATCGCTCAACACGAATGCACCGGACGTCTTATCCATTAGGCCACGACGACTTCAGACTATTTTGACTGTTTTGACTTGGGTGATTAGTTCTTTAGGATCCAAGCTAGGAATAGAAAATAATTTTTGGTTTTAATGATTCATCATTTTGAGGATATGAATGAACAAACTGCGGCCCGCTAAAGGATACATAAGAGAATGAGCATCAGCGTTTTCAGAGAATTTCATTAGCTCACTGCGATCTGGAATGTCCTTTTACTTGTGAGATGTATTGTCTTTCCACATGGGTGATTACAACTAATTTACCTATTTCATTTTGAAGAGCGATATAGCCGTTCTAAAATAATTGAGGTTTTGACCTCATATCTCAAGTTGTATTCACCAAGTAGTGGTATTCACGTTGTGATTTCTATGGACTGCAGTAACTATTTTACAGCGGTAGATCATGAGTTCTAGTTCGCCTGTAAAAGTAATTAATAAAACAAAAAGCAATCATACATATCTACCTCATGTCGAAGTAGGTGGTGGCTCTCAATTATTGAATATCGGCTCCGGTCACCATTTACCATTAAATAGGCAATGAATTATCTCAGCAATGCAAGAAATAAATAAAATAATGGTTAATGTAAAACTAATGTGGTTCCGCAATTTTTTTTTATTTTTTATTGCTTAGGTGTGTGGATGAGCTCACAGCCCATCTGGTGTTAAGTGGTTACTGGAGCCTATAGACATCTACAACGTAAATGCGCCACACACCTTGAGATATAGTTCTAAGGTCTCACTATAGTCACAACGGCTTCCCCACCCTTTAAAACGAAACGCATCACTGCTTCATGGCAGAAATAGGCGGGACGGTGGTACCTACCCGTGCGGACTCATAAGAAGTCCTACCACCAGTAAAAAAGTACCAGTAAAAGTAATTGTATATTCAATTTTTTGCATTAATTACATCTGGTACTTAACATGTGGCATAAATATAATCCAAAACTTTCATTTAAATTGGTCTTAAAATTAGTCATGAGTATAGTCCCTCAATTGTAGCTTGTTATTAACAGCATCGCACAGGGACAAATTAAAGTTATTTCCTAAGAAAATTCTAGAAGCATACTGCCTTTGAAAGTGTGTATGCTGGGCTACCCACGTATGTTATTTTTGGTCTAGTTCATAAGCTTATATTTAATTCATAACGCTAAGCTATTCTTAATTGTTATATAAATTATTACGCAAAACGGTCTTCAAAGAGATAGTCTAGAAAAACTCTAAAGCATATTTTTTTTAAATTATCTCGAAATAAACGAATCTATTATTTAAACTAAAACTTTTGGTTTTATTTTGCTTAAACATTAAGCTTTTTGTAAATAAATTAAATACGAAATTAAAGAAAAGTCAAATGTTAGTAAAGAAACAATCACATTTGATATTAAATAAAACCCGATTCATAAAAGGTGCTTATACAAATCTAAGGTTTTCAAACTAGATGATTATACGTACGTCATTCAAAGTTCCGAGAACGAGTCGAAATTAGAAACTACCAGTATATTATATGAATTAATAATATTCTAATCAATCTAATCTTTTAAAATTTCAAATGAATGCAAGAATTTCACTAGAAATATCAACTTC